ACTTATCGAAGTAAATTTTGAAGAGTTCAAATTTCTGACCTTGTTTACAAATTTTAAATCGTTTTACGTGTAATTTGAATATTTTTTTCTGTATCTTATAATATCAAGACAGTTATATAACTAAAAAAGTAAAATTATCTATAAAAAAATACTTCTATGACATAATATTCTTAATTTGTGAGCCTTCCATACAAGCTAGACAACAAGTTTCTGCCCGAGTGTTGTTGCAGTGGAACTATTAGTATGAAACCGGTGAGTTCAAATGTCGCTAGTCGCAAGAGGAAGGACTTGAACCTTCGACCTTGTGGTTAACAACCACACGCTCTAACCAACTGAGCTACTCCAGCAAACATTAAAGAATATTTTTTTTTATAGAAATAATGAAACCTAATTGCGGCCCTAAGATCACATATTTAATTAAAGTCGGAACTAAAATGGACCATTTAATTAAAGTCGGAACTAAAATGGACCATTATTCTTCTTTCTTTTTTTTTTTTTAATGCCCATGATGATTTACAAGGTAGTATATGTTCTATACTTTCTCAAACATTTTCAAACAAAAAATGTAAGCTCCCACCGCGGGTAACTAGGATGTCATTACGCTAAATGGTAGTTGGCACAATCAACCAATCTGAATAGCCACATATCTTAATTTGAGGCTCACCATACACAACCCAACCTTAGCCTTATACCCATAATATAATGTGGTAAGTTTCACAACATCAATAAAAATTTGAAGTGTATATTTATAATTATAAAATTTAGTCACTAGTTTCAATTGATGTTATATACAAACTTATGGAAGTAAATTTTGAAGAGTTCAAATTTCTGACCTTGTTTACAAATTTTAAATCGTTTTACGTGTAATTGAATATTTTTTTCTCTATCTTATAATATCAAGACAGTTATATAACTAAAAAAGTAAAATTATCTATAAAAAAATACTTCTATGACAAAAAATTCCTAATTTGTGAGCCAACCATACAAGCTAGACAACACGTTTCTGCCCGAGTGTTGTTGCAGTGGGAGTATATTAGTATGAAACTGGTGAGTTAAAATGTCGCTAGTCACTAGAGGAAGGACATGAACCTTCAACCTTGTGGTTAACAGCCACACGTTCTAACCAACTGAGCTACTCCAGCAAACATTAAAAAATATTTTTTTTTTTAAAAAGAAATAATGAAACCTAATTGCGGCCCTAAGATCACATATTTATTTAAAGTCGGAACTAAAATGGAGCATTATTCTTCTTTCTTTTTTTTTTTTAATGCCCATGATGATTTACAAGGTAGTATATGTTCTATACTTTCTCAAACATTTTCAAACAAAAAATCTAAGCCCCCACCGTAGGTAACTGTGATGTCATTATACGAAATTGTAGTTGGCACAATCAACCAATCTGAATAGCCACATATCTTAATTTGAGGCTCACCATACATAACCCAACCTTAGCCTTATACACATAATATAATGTGGTAAGTTTCACAACATCAATAAAAATTTGAAGTGTATATTTATAAATATAAAATTTAGTCACTCGTTTCAATTGATGATATATACAAACTTATGGAAGTAAATTTTGAAGAGTTCAAATTTCTGACCTTGTTTACAAACTTTAAATCGTTGTGACATGTAATTTGAATTTTTTTTCACTATCTTATAATATCAGGACAGTTATATAACTAAAAAAGTAAAATTATCTATAAAAAAAATACTTCTATGACATAAAATTTCTAATTTGTGAGCCTTGCATACAAGCTAGACTACAAGTTTCTGTCCGAGTGTTGTTGCAGTGGAACTATTAGTATGAGACTTGTGAGTTCAAATGTCGCTAGTCGCTAGAGGAATGACTTGAACCTTCGACCTTGTGATTAACAGCCACACGCTCTAACCAACTGAGCTACTCCAGCAAACATTAAAAAATATATTTTTTTAAAAAAGAAATAATGAAACCTAATTTCGGCCCTAATGTGACACCCCAAAATCCGAATTCGATTAAGGGATTAATTAAGTAATTAATCCTATTTCAATTTGTAATTTCATTCCTTAAATTCCTGAAATTCAATAGTCGGGGACTAGTAATTGACTAGTCAACCCCAAAGTCAAAGTTGTACCTTGAGCTTTGTAAGGAGTTTCCTTGTTTCCTTACACCTCTTCATGTTAGTAAGGGTATTCTTGACCTTTCACCTTGTGTTAGTATTGTAACCTAACCTAGTAAGAACACCCTCATTTCTTTCCTTACACTTTCCAAATTCTAGCTCCACCTTCTCTCTAAAAAGGTGGATAGCTTTTCTTCCAAGCCAAGTTGAAGCTTTTCCAAGACTTCAAGAGTTGTCTCCAAGATTCTACCTTTCATACATTTGGGCATCTTGGAGGGTAAGATCCATGTTTATCTTGTGTTTTTAGTGTCTTCTTAGGTGTCTTTTCTTAAAGATAGAATCTTTATGATCTTTTGGTGTGTTCTTGAAGTGGGTTTGGATGGTGAGCTTTGATAGGAGCTTGGTGTGGTGTTAAGTGAAGGTTTTTGGTCTACAAGAAGTAACCCATGCTCTACAAAATCTATTTTGCTTACCTATATGAATATTTCTTGAATTCTACATGTGATTTTGCTATGAAATGTGAGTGTTTATGCATTGTCTTGTGAAAATGCATATCTAGAGCTTGTGTTTAGGGTTCATGTGTGCCATTGCTTGGATATTCCTTTGATTCAAGTCATTTTGTTGTATTTGGTGAGTTTTGGCATGTTTTGGACTTGAATTTGAGCTTCGAGTTGAAAATCCCCGAAGGGATTATTTTGGTACAGGTTGGGTACCCGCGGCCGGAACGGCGGGCAGAGCCCTACCCGCCGCCCCACCCGCGGGGAGAGAGGCTTGTGGGTGTATGTACCCGCGAGCAGGACCACGGGTAGGGGCCTACCCGTGGGTCCACCCGCGGGGTACATTTTGGTGATTGGCAGGGATTTGTTCCCCGTGATTCTTTTGACTCGGTATTTGGTCTTTTGACTTCCCGATGTTCTTTTGTGGAACTATTTGAGTGTCTTCCTGATGTTTCGTATGTCTAGGACTATATGGTAGGAATCCATGTAGGTTTTGGTGTCTTGAATCGTGCTAAGTGTTCAACATTGTGTTTCGTTGAACCGTGATGAGTCTTGTGTGTTCTACGGAACTACTTTCGGTTTACCCGTTTGATAAGCATGCTAGTTCGGTGTTTAAATGCTAGCATGTGTGTTGTTTGTACCTTGTTATGGGTTGATGATAACTTGTGTTATTCATCGTTGTTGTTGTTGGACTGTGATCCATTCCTTGATTGTGTATGGTTTCATATCTTCGTTGTGATCCGTTGATTGATTCCTGTTGAGGTGTGATGTGTGTGTGGCTTTACCTGGATTGCACGATTAGTGATATGGGACACTAGTCACCAAGGTATTGCAGTGGTCCTCGTGGTGGCCATGACCTGATTATGGAGTTGTGACCTTTGTGTAAGGTTCACGTGATTCTTGGGTGGCATGTGTTGCCGTGTGTGTGATTGGTACCCTTGTGTACTATGAAATCGGTGGTTCTGTTGGAGGGGGAACGATGGTTCCCGGAGGAATAAGGTTGGACTTGGTGTATAGGGGTCCTGGAGGTAAAGGTTGGAACTAGATATAAGGTTGGGGGTAGCCATAAGGTTGGAACCGGGCATAAGGAAGGCATATCAACTCGTGATGGGTGATGTCACGAGGGCTTGTGTAGCCGTTGTTGTGAGTTCTCTCCTTGTGACGTGTGTAGTCACAAAGGCATGTGTTGCCTAGGCATGTGTTGCCATTTGTTGTGTCTTTATTCTTTTGAGTTGTTGTTGTCCTTGTGGTCTCGGGATGTGTTCCCGTGTTCTTGTTGAGAGTGCTAAGTCTTGTGTTGACTATTACTCTTGGTTTTGTACTTATATACTTATGTATTCCGTTTCGAAAATGGCTTTACAACTTATATCTTACCTATGTATGTTATTTCACATGTATTGGTGGGTTACCAGCATTATTCGCTGACCGGACGTCGTCGCATGTTTATTGTGTTCTTTAAGGTGATGTCTAGGCGAGTGTGCGGTCTAGTACTTGCTAGTATAGCTTCTCCCTTTCGTTTTGTGGCCTGTGTGCCAGCTTAGATGTAGAACAATGAGACAATGGGTTTGGATTTAAACATTGCAGATGTTGCCTGTGTGTTCATCTCTTTGGTGAACGTGGCATAGCACCCCGTATTCAAGTTTATTCATATACATCTATCTTTCAGTCTTCCGCTGTGATTGTTGTTTGGTTTATTTATCTGCATGTTTAAGGATTTAAAATAGCTTGTTTTTGGGGGGTGTTGCACCTAAGATCACATATTTAATTAAAGTCGGAACTAAAATGGACCATTATTCTTCTTCTTCTTTTTTTTTTTTAATGCCCATGATAATTTACAAGGTACTATACGTTCTATACTTTCTCAAACATTTTCAAAAAAAAAATCTAAGCCCCCACCGTAGGTAACTGTGATGTCATTACACAAAATGGTAGTTGGCACAATCAACCAATCTGAATAGCCACATATCTTAATTTGAGGCTCACCATACACAACCCAACCTTAGCCTTATACACCTAATATAATGTGGTAAGTTTTACAACATCAATAAAAATTTGAAGTGTATATTTATAATTATAATAAGATTAGTCACTAGCTTCAATTGATGATATATACATACTTATGTTAGTAAATTTTGAAGAGTTCAAATTTCTGACCTTGTTTACAAACTTTAAATCGTTGTGACGTGTAATTTGAATTTTTTTCTCTATCTTAGAATATCAAGACAGTTATATAAATAAAAAAGTAAAATTATCTATAAAAAAAAAATACTTCTATGACATAAAATTTCTAGTTTGTGAGTCTGCCCGAGTGTTGTTACAGTTCCATTTCTAGTTTGTGAGTCTGCCCGAGTGTTGTTACAGTGGAACTATTAGTATGAGACTTGTGAGTTCAAATGTCGCTAATTGCTAGAGGAAGGAGTTGAACCTTCGACCTTGTGGATAACAACCACACGCTCTATCCAACTGAGATACTCCAACAAACATTAAAAAATATATATATTTTTTTAAAAAGAAATAATGAAACCTAATTGCGGCCCTAAGATCACATATTTAATTAAAGTCAGAATTAAAATGGACCATTATTCTTCTTCTTCTTTTTTTAATGCCCATGATGATTTACAAGGTAGTATATGTTCTATACTTTCTCAAACATTTTCAAACAAAAAATCTAAACCCCCACCGTAGGTAACTGTGATGTCATTACACGAAATGGTAGTTGGCACAATCAACCAATCTGAATAGCCACATATCTTAATTTGAGGCTCACCATACACAACCCAACCTTAGCCTTATACACATAAAATAATGTGGTAAGTTTTACAACATCAATAAAAATTTGAAGTGTATATTTATAATTATAATAAGTTTAGTCACTAGTTTCAATTGATGATATATACATACTTATGGAAGTAAATTTTGACGTGTTCAAATTTCTGACCTTGTTTACAAACTTTAAATCGTTGTGACGTGTAATTTGAATTTTTTTCTCTATCTTAGAATATCAAGACAGTTATATAAATAAAAAAGTAAAATTATCTATAAAAAAAATACTTCTATGACATAAAATTTCTAATTTGTGAGTCTGCCCAAGTGTTGTTGCAGTGGAACTATTAGTATGAGACTTGTGAGTTCAAATGTCGCTAGTCACCAGAGGAAGGACTTGAGCCTTCGACCTTGTGGTTAACAACCACATGCTCTAACCAACTGAGCTACTCCAGCGAACATTAAAAAATATTTTTTTTAAAAAAAAAAGAAATAATGAAACCTAATTGCGGCCCTAAGATCACATATTTAATTAAAGTCGGAACTAAAATGGACCATTATTCTTCTTCTTTTTTTTTTTTTTAATGCCCATGATGATTTACAAAGTAGTATATGTTCTATACTTTCTCAAACATTTTCAAACAAAAAATCTAAGCCCCCTCCGTAGGTAACTGTGATGTCATTACACGAAATGGTAGTTGGCACAATCAACCAATCTGAATAGCCACATATCTTAATTTGAGGCTCACCATACACAACCCAACCTTAGCCTTATACACATAATATAATGTGGTAAGTTTTACAACATCAATAAAAATTTGAAGTGTATATTTATAATTATAATATGTTTAGTCACTAGTTTCAATTGATGATATATACATACTTGTGGAAGTAAATTTTGAAGAGTTCAAATTTCTGACCTTGTTTACAAACTTTAAATTGTTGTGACGTGTAATTTGAATTTTTTTCTCTATCTTATAATATCAAGACAGTTATATAACTAAAAAAGTAAAATAATCTATAAAAAAAAAAAAAAACTTCTACATATAATTTCGAATTTGTGAGCCTTCCACTTAAAAGCTTGGCGCTATTCGCTAGACTGGAAGGACTTGAACCTTCAACCTCGTGGTTAACAGCCACACGCTCTAACCAACTGAGCTACTCCAGCAAACATTAAAAAATATATTTTTTTTAAAAAGAAATAATGAAACCTAATTGCGGCCCTAATATCACATATTTAATTATAGTCGGAACTTAAATGGACCATTATTTGTTGGAAAAAATAGCTTAAAATGGCATATTAAGTGGTTTTTTTGTGGTACAATTATCAGTGCGGTCCACTTCTGATTTGCGTCGGGTCAAAGTGGATTCGGGTTCTTTGTAGTAAGACGAAGAGATTGATATATTGTACGCTCAAAACGGATAATGGGTGAATGAGATATTGATTCTCAAAGTAGACCCATTTGAGTTGGAAAATGAAGGGAAAAAAGTGAGCTTTTGTCCCACATTGGTTTGGGAAGAGGATTTCCCCCACTATTTATACAAGAGCTCTTTTTAAGCTTATTGAATTGTATAGTATAGAGGCTCTCTCTCGCGCGCAGGGGGGTGGTGGGGTTGCAAATCAAATCCCAAAATGAGATCGCAAAAGGCTTGGGTTAAGCCTAATCTCGCGTGCGCCGGCACCTGCACGAAACTTTGTGATGTTTTCGTGGAGATTGGTGTTCGGCCAAGCCGAAACTGTGCCGGCCAGCACAGTTTTTTTTTTTGCAGCTCCTGTTTTGTGACAGTTGGGATTTAATTTCAGCTGTTATGGGTTTAATTTCAATTTTAATTTTTGAATTAACACCCATGTTAATGGTTGCCGTTACAGGAGTTGTAGGGTGCCCCTTGTTAGGAATATATTGTAAATTTTGATGAGCCGAATGTCTTTTTGAAAAATCAAGTAGTCCCCAATTTTATTCTATTTGAGTCAGTCCTAGTCTACGGAGTATGGTGCACCTATATCATGCAACCCATGTACAAGTCTGGAAAATCATATTTTGATTTTCGATGTTAAGCGGGATTATAGCTTCACATAATTATGTTGCGGAGAAGTCACCAAGAACCATGTTAGAAGAGTTGGAAGAAACGCGTGTGAGCTAGGCCAAGTGATCCTTAGTTCGAATCTCAAGTGAAGCAATTTTTAAGCTTGCTTTGGAGACTAGCTTGGACCGTATGAGAGACTAGCTTCACTGTATTGGAGACTAGCTTGGACAGACTAGCTTCACTGTATTGGAGACTAGCTTGGACCGTATAACCGTATGGGAGACTAGCTTGGACCGTATAACCGTATGGGAGACTAGCTTGGACCGTATAATCGTAAAGAGACTAGCTAAAATAGATACTAGCTAGAATGGAGACTCTTGAAATAGAGGAGACTAGCTAAAATAGATACTAGCTAGAATGGAGACTCTCTAAAATAGAGACTAGCTAAGGAGAGACTAGCTAATGAAGACTAGCTAAGGAAAATGCACAAGTCTCACAGAAGCCATGCACCATATGGAGAAACATACCAAGTATGGTGGACTAAGCTTGAAATTCGAAACAGAGCATCTCACCATGAACAACAATGGAGTTTTTACAGAGGTTCCAGTATAATATTTTACAAGGAACATGAAGGAGAAAATATTTGATATATATTTTCATCTGAACATCAAGTTTTTACGGTGGAACCGGAGACGCTCGAAGAAGGCTGATTTGCGGAGAAATAATTTTATACTCAAGCAAGAATCAGCAGTTAAATTATTTGATCAACTTGACATGTCAGAGCATTTATGAAGGAGAAGAAAATCATGCACGCCGCGCCCAACTTATTCAAATTTTGGAGGCTACAAAATTCAAGACACGGCAACGGGCAATTTATTCAAATCATCTGACAAAAAGGAGAAATGACATCTACCTACAATTGCAGATCAAGTTGACAAAATTATCAGATCAACTACAATTCAAAATGGACGATCAAGATCGAAAGTTGATCAACGGGCAAATAGCTTTCTTTGGCTATAAAATGCCCAAGCAGACTTGAAGACAAATACGACTTGAACACGGCTGAAAAATTACAAGCAAGAGAAAAGCAAGCAATATTCAAATCAGCCAAGAAGTGATATATTGAGCATACACGATAGAATTCAAGTCTGAGTGAGAGAAATCTTTGTATTTCATTGTAAATCTTCTACTGAGTGTAGAAAAGGGGCAGAGTAACAAGAGGAGCTTGTGAAAACCCTTGGAGGACGTAGCTTTGTGCGTAGTTCTTGTGGTGTAGGAGTACAGCTTGGTGCGAAGTACTCGGGAAGGCGGAGTAACAAGAGGAGCTTGCGAAAAACCTTGGAGGAGTGTAGCTTTGTGCGAAGCACTCGGAGAAGTGTCGGTGGACACTTATTCACTATTGTATCTGGGTGATCGAAGAATAGTGAATTTCCTCGTTGAAGTGAAAGGAGAAGAGTGGACTAGGAGGATTACACCACCTCTGAACCACTATAAATCTCTCTCTCTATTTACTTACTGCTCATATATTTTGTGCATGCTTATTCTAACTGCGAACTAACCCGATTACGATTTATCGCTTATCTTTATATGTCTGGGTTTGATAGTTCCCACGTTTGCATGCAAGCCAAACTTTACGTACATCATCCTTGAACCATATCAAGTGTTTCTAACGTGTTGCATGTTTAGAATCTCTCTTTGAGCACCACACTATTAAGCATAACACTATACCGCTACCTATTCCGCTGCACACTCTAAGTTGTTTATCTTGATGATGCTTGTTACTTAGAGTTGATATAATTAAAGTGTTATTTGCCTTGTGTGTTTTGCGAAAGAATTGGAAAAGTTAGAGAAGTCTATTCACCCCCCCCCCCCCCTCTAGACTTCTCGCCACCCATTCGGGACCAACAAGTGGTATCAGAGCGGTTGTCTATTTGAGTCAATTTTGACTGCTAGATAGATCTCAAAATCTTCAAGATGAAGAGAGATATGGCTCTTGCTCAAAATTTGCTTTTCTCACTTGATAAATTTGATGATTGGAAAATACGTATGCAGGTGCACTTATCTGCTTTAAATGACGAAATGTGGGAAGTCATCGCAAAAGGTCCTATTCAAATTATGGAAGTTAACACTACCGCCGCACTAACTCCAAATGCTCCATGATATATTCCAAAGCCAAAAATGGAGTGGACAAAGGAAGATAGAGGGCGAAATAATTTGGACAACATTGCCAAAGATATTTTATTCAAAGCAGTCGATGACACCATATTCCCAAAGATTCGAAAGTGCACTACAGCAAAAGAAATATGGGATACACTTATCGGAATCGGTGAAGGCGATGAACAAGAAAAAGACAACAAACTAACCATTGCCATGAAGAGGTTCGAAGATTTCAAAATGCTACCGAACGAAAGCATCACCGACATGGAAGCTCGATTGATCAAAATTCTTGGAGAAATCACAGATCTGGGAAAGACCATTACCCAGAAAGAAATATCGCTCAAAGTGTTACGCGGACTACCTACAAATTGGGATATGAAGGTGACCGCAATGCGCGATCATAGAGATCTAAGGACATTATCTACGGATAAACTCTTTAGTGATCTTAAGGCGTATGAGTTCGAAATGAAGACACGAGTCGAGGAAGAACGTGATGAACGAACATCCACATTGATGGCCGAACAACCCTCAAC